GCTTGAACACCACCACAGCTTTGGAAAGCTCCACCTTCAAGTTGTCCAGCTATTTCAGCAGCTCTCCCTTGTTTTTGTCACAGAAGTCCAGAGCCTTGGTCTTGGCCATGGCCGCACTCCATTTTTTAGCTATTATGAATAATGCTGACATGAACATTCTTGTACAAGTTACTGGGTGGGCATGTTTTCATTTTTCTTGGGTATATACCCAGGAGTGGAATTGCTAGATTGTATGGTGACTCTGTGTTTAACTTTTTGAGGAACTGCCAAACTGATTTCCGAAGTGGCTACACCAGTTTACAATCCCACCAATGGCACGTGAGGGCTCCAGTTTCTCTACATCCTTGTCAATACTTGTTATCTGTCTTTTCGATTATAGCCATCCTAGTGGGTGTCAGCTGGCATCTCATTGTGGTTTTGATTTGCATTTCCTTGATGGATAATGATGTTGAGCTTATTGGCCATTTGTATATCTTCTTTGGGGAAATGTCTATTCAGATTCTTTGCCCCTTGTGCTAGATTTTTTTATTGTTCAGAAAATGACCACTTTCACCTTTTGGATGTGTTACAGAGGTAGGTGGGCACTGCCTGTAAACGCCTGACAAATGCTTGTAAATGTGTCAGGATCTGAGCACACATGCGCTCTGAAGGTAGCCAGAAGTTAGAAGCAGAGTGAACCTTTGACAGGAATTCATTTTACATTTATTGAGCAACTATTGTACACTAGGCTCTAGTAAAATGTAGATAATATGTGATCCCTGCCCTTCAGCTTATGGTCTGCTTGAGAGGTGGAGTGGGATGAGTCTGTAGCTCTCTAGAGGAGGTATTAGCTGAAGGGATATTCCAGGTGGAAGGAACTGAATGTGCAAAAGCATTTGAAAATGAGAGCTGCCCATGGTTCAGTTGGGGGCACTGTGCAGGGAATGCTCAGGAAGTTCAGTTTGGCTGGAATCTTAGAGTGAGTGGTGGGAGGGGTTAAGAGACAAACCTGGATACAGGTCTTAGAAGGCATTTTCCTTTGTGGTGGGTATTTAAGCAGGGACCTGCATGATTGGATTTGTGTTTTCATGATTACCTAGCTCTCACATGGAGATTAGACAGGAGGTGGGGTGTCATTTAGATTGTGAGGAGAGGCAGAACAGTGCCTGACTGGTCTGTCTCAATGCCAGGGTTTTGCATTCAGATTGAATATTGACCACAGATTAGATCTTAAAAGTTATTTCTAATAAAATTCTAATATTAGGATTTTGACTTGTTCATTCTTTTGTCTTAAAAGTGAAATGCATAGAGTGTGTGTGCCTGGCGGAGGCTCTTTAATTGGGCTGTAGTTAATTGAATTTATATTGAATAAATGCTTTAATTACCTGTTAACATTTCTAAAACGTAAATTATTCCTTTTAAATATTGTTCAGCATCTGGGTATTGACAGTGTCTATCTGGTAAAGGTGGAGCCTGCATGGCGCAAGTGATTTGCAATCAGCTGCTAACGGAAAAGTTGACGGTTCAAACCCACGCAGTGGCTTCTTGGAAGAAAAAGGCCTGGCAATCTGCTTCCACAAAGATTACAGCCAAGAAAATCCTATGGAGCAATTTTACTCTGTAACAAACACATGGTTTCACCATGAGTTGGGGGCCGACTCGACAGTAGCTAATAACATCTGGTATAGGGAGTGTCTGGGTGGTGCAAACAGTTAAGTGCTCAAAAGGTTGGCTGCTCAAGTCCGCCCAGGGGTGCCTTGGAAGAAAGGCCAGCAATCTACTTTAGAAAAATCAGCCATTAAAAACCCTGTGGAGGACAATTCTATTCTGATAACACATGGGGTTGCCATGTGCTAGATTCGACTCTACAGCAACTTTTTTTTTTTTAAATCTGGTATAGGCAACTGGTATCTGTGTAAGAACTTCTCTTCAACAACAGCAAGCAACCTTTAAATTGGGATTTTATGGCTAGAAAAATGTCTTGGATGTGAATATGTTAAAACCTTTGGATAAACTGATGTTCTTGGAGATCTGCCTAGGCTGGTGACTCACAGAACCACTGAGGACGCTGAGACAGAAAGGAGCCAGCCGGCGCTTCTAGCCCCATCTGTACCGAGCACACAAAATGCTTAAGAGACTAGCCAGGCTGTGTGGCCTGCTAGTGGCAGAGCGCATCCAGATTCTAGTTCTCTGCTGTCAGACCAGTTTCTTTTTATTATCCTGGTGTTCCTAAGGAAGGGGAAGAAATTTCTGTTCTTTAAATGTCATTTGTAGCAGACTAATGGTTGTAGTTTTTAAAGTGAACTTTTTTGTTTTAATTGAAGACATACATGCAGAAATGTGCACAAATCAAGTACAGATTTGCTGGATTTTCACAGTCCGCACACCTGGATAACCAACACCTGAGAAGCCTTCCTTGTGCCCTTTACCAGTCACCACCTCCCCAGGACAAAGGGGACCACTATCCTGACTTCTGAGCCTGAGTGGCACAAACGGTTAAGCACTGGGCTGCTAGCTGAAAGGTTGGTGGTTTGAATCCACCCAGAGATGCCTCAGAAGACAGGCCTGGGGATCTGCCTCTGAAAGATGACAGCCTTGAATACCCTATGGAGCAGTTCTTCTCTGCACACATGGGGTCACCATGAGTTGGAATCAACTGGATGGCAACTAACAACAACATCCTGACTTTGGAAACTGTTGATTAGTTTTACCTGTTTTTGAACTTTCTATCATTGTAATCATGTAGTGTATCCTCTCTTTGTCCGGCTTCTTTTGCTCAGCCTAATTACAGGTAGTCCCCAACTCTGACTTATGATATATATACAGCGAACGACACTGATGACTGTCTTTTTTTTTTTTTTTTTTTTGATTGTACATCTTACTGTTTGTAATGCACACTGCATACACTGTTGCCGCATGCAGTTTGGTGGTGTTATCATTCTCAGATGTTCACTCGCAGATGTTCAATGTTATGATTTACTGTTTAAAACACTGCCATATAACAGGCTATGGCAATAATAATGAAAACTTAAAAAAAAAAGAGATATTCGACTTGCGTCAGAATAGACTTATGATGAAGTCATCGGACTGGAACCCTAAGGTAGTTCCTTACTTAACGAGGTGGCACAGTGGTTAAGAGCTCGGTCAGCAGTGCGAATCCACCAGCTGCTCCTTGGAAACCCTATGAGGCAGTTCTACTCTGTCCTGTAGGGTTGCTGTGAGTCAGAATCGACTCGGCGGCAATGGATTTGGTTTTGGTTTTATACAGTTATATAATCTCCATTGCCATCAAGGTGTGGAACCATTCTATCACCCTAAAAAGTTTCCTTGGGCCTTTTTGCAATTGATCCGTCTGCCCTGATCTCAGGCAACTAATTTGTTTTCTTTCACTGTAGTCTGGCATTTTCTAGAATTGCATACAATAGAATAATTTAGTATGTAGTCTTTTGTGTTTGACCGCTTTTTGTTAGCATAATTCAACGGAATGTTTTTGAGATTATCCATGTTGTTTGTGGTTTATTTTCATTGTTTTATTATTCTGTGGTAGGAATGCACTGTCATGTATCCATTCTGTTGATGGACATCTAAGTTGTTTCTACTTTTATGCTATTATGCATAATGCTGCCTTGACTATTCTTAATATGTGCCCTTTGGAAATCTAGGCATTTCTGCTGGCATATAGATTGGCATGATGGCTGCAACAATGGGCTCAAATATACCTACTGATGTGAGGATGGCGCAGGACCAAGCAACATTCATTCTGTTATACAGGCACCTAACAACAACATGTGTAGAAGTGAAACCGCTGGCTTCAGCTTTAGTAGATTCTGCCAACAGTTTTTAAAGAGAATGTACCAGTTTACACTCTCATCAGCAGGTGTGAAAGTTCTGACCTTTCTACATCCTCACCAACTTAATATTGTTTCTCTTTTTAATTTTAGGTATTCTGTAGATTAATAGCATATTTTAAGAACGGAAAGATATAGTGAAAATTGCTAGATACTTTGTAGGTGCTTCGCCAACAAACTTATGTTTGCAGACATTTTTATCTGGTTTTTCTTTTTCTTTTTAATAATAAATTGTGTTTTAGGTGAAAGTTGACACAGCAAATTAGCTTCCCATTTAAAAATTTTTATACAAATTGTTCTGTGACATTGGTTACAGTACTCACAGTGTGGTAGCATTCTCGTTATTTCCATTCTTTTTGTTCTGTTTCCATTGATCTAGCTTCCTTTCCCTTAAACTTACCTTCTCACCTTCGCTTTTGGGTAGATGTTGACCGTTCGGTCTCATAGTTGATTGTTTAAGGGAGCACATTACTCATGGGTGATATTGTTTATTTTATAAGCCAATCTATGATATGGCTGAAAGACCAGAAATAGCTTCAGTTCCAAGTTCAAAGGGTATCTTAGGCGATAGTCTTTGAGGATTCCGCTAGACTCTGTTAGTCCAGTTAGTCTGGCCTTTTTTAGGAATTTGAATTTTGTTCTACATTTTTCTCCCATTCTGTCTGGGACCTTCTATTGTGTCCCCGGTCAGAACAGTCAGTAGTGGTAGTGGGGCACCGTCTAGTTCTTCTGGTCTCATGTTAGAAGAGGCTGTGGTTTGTGTGGACTAATTTCTACTTTGAACCTTTGGTTTCCTTCATTCTCTTTTGCTTCATACGAATCGAGATCAATAGTTATATCTTAGATGGCCACTTGCATGCTTTCAAGACCCCAGACGCTACTCATGTATGATTTTTCTTTAATTAAAGCATTTATAATTCTTTATTAGACTGCCATAAGTAGAATCGTTGATTGAAGTCCAGATTCTGAGTATTATTCAGAAGATTGCATTTCCATGATGTAATGTGGTATTCAGTTTTGCTTTGCCAGTGTTGTGACATTTGGGGCAAGAAAGGGAGTGGTTAAAGGTGAAGTAAGCTGAATCCTTGCTTTCGATTTGGTTTAGCCTGAGGCCACTGAGAAATAGTACTTAATTTATTTAATTCCTATAAATATTGCCTTCAATCTGGAGGCGGTGTCAGATGTAACAGCCTCTTTTTTGCTTTTCAGTGAGGTGCTGGCTGAGGAATCCATATTATGCCTCCAGAAAGCCCTGAATCACCTTCGGGAAATATGGGAATTAATTGGGATTCCAGAGGACCAGCGGTTACAAAGAACGGAGGTGGTAAAGAAGCATATCAAAGTGAGTTATCAAAGTGAAATATCAAAGCATATCAAAGTGAGATGTAGCAGTTCTGGTATCCTTGCAGTGGGTTAGGGGTAAGGATGCTGGTGACTCATCTGAGAGAACATCTGGAAGTGACATTTTGATTACCAGGACTAGAACACAACAGCCTGTTCGTCGGTTTTTTTTTTTTTTTAAGTCTGTTCTTGAAATTATGGGAGCTTTGGTGGTGTTGGTTGGGATTTTGGTTTTTTCCTTGACCCCAAGCTTTTATGGGACTGCTCTCTCTCTTGTTGTAGGATCTCCTGGATATGATGATTGCTGAAGAGGAAAGCCTGAAGGAGAGGCTCATCAAAAGCATTGCGATCTGTCAAAAAGAGCTGAATACCCTCTGCAGCGAGTTACATGTTGAGCCAATTCAGGTACATCTGGCAGCTTATAGATCTCAGGGGAGCCTGTGTGGGTTAAGAAGGGGCTTGACTTGGAGCGAAGATCCAGGTAGAGATGGTTGGTCTCCTTCTAGGACAGGAGGAATGGGGAAGACTTGCCTCCTAGTTAATTAATTCAAGCAAAGTAATTTTCACATATGTAAAGATTTGCCACTGTTGAAAGGTAAAGCAGCTAATAGGTGTTGTAATGCTTTGATGAAAAATAAGCTTCATCTTGCTGTCAATTTGTTTTGCTTTGTAGGGCATATTAATTTTTTTTAAACTCTGAGGAAAAGCTAGGAACAGATGGTACTGCTTTTTTTTTTCTCTGAAAGAAAATGAAAAGAGCTACCCAGGAAGCAAAAGTGACCAGTGATAAGAGGGAAGATTACCCAAAAAGCCTCTTTGCAGTCCTGTTTTATTACCCAGAAGCTGCAGCCAGATAGTGGCACACCACTAAAGCAGCCACAGTGACTACTTCAGAAGAAATGTCTCAAAAGCTGGAGTTTCAGGAGAGCATAGCCAAGTTCAGAGCATGCCGTGATTATTTGTGTATGTAGCTGAGAGTTTGCTGTATTGTGGTCCAGGGATTCCAAAACAGCTCTGGTTAGAACCAGTAAAAGTAGTGTCAGGATCATAAAAGTCAGACAAATGCAGAGCTTAGAAAGGTAATTAGAGTAGATGTGCATGCAGGGACAGCGCACGACGACTGGGGTTGTTCAGTAAGGTTCTCAGGTCCCTCTCTCTGACATAGGAAGAACTGCCTGGGTATCAGATGGAGTCAGCCTATTAGAGAGACCACCATGAAAAGGATAATTCATACCTAGCAATCAAGAGCAATCAGGCAGACTGTGGCATCAGTGGAGTGATCTGGACCTTATCAGAAATGACATAATTGATTTTGGATCCTAGGTTTATCTTTCTCTAGTCTTTTGTTTGTTTTTGTTTTTTAACTTTCAGTGTGAAATTGAGTGAGCAGTTAGGTTTATAATGGTATATCTCCCTTAAATTACATGAAAGTTTCTAGTTTACCAATGTTGAATAAAAGTGTAAACTTATACAACTGCCATTGTTTTTTTCTGTTTACCGTGATGGTACCTAAATTAATTAGTAGGATTGGTAAGATGAACATTTAGCTATGAACTAGATATACTACCCTACAGCTAGCTTTGCAATCAATTTTCACATCTTTCAGAAGTGTGCTGGTACCTAGTACCTTCCGGTATTGTAGTCCTTCCTTAGGGAACCCTCTTTGTGCCACGTTCTGTTGGCCACTGACTGACTGTAAATTTAACTAAAAGCCTTCATTCTGGCCCTCTTCCATTGTCCTTCTCTTCCTTCAAAGAGGTTCACTGGGAGCATTATAGCAATGGTGCATTGTCTCATACAGGAAGAAGGCGAGACAACCATCTTGCAACTAGAAAAGGATTTGCGCACTCAGGTGGAATTGATGCGAAAACAGAAAAAGGAGAGAAAACAGGAACTGAAACTACTTCAGGAACAAGATCAAGAACTGTGTGAAATTCTTTGCATGCCCCCGTATAACATTGACAGCACCTCAGTTCCCAGCTTAGAGCAGCTGAACCAGTTCAGACAACACGTGGCAACTCTGAGGGAAACAAAGGTATATTGCCTGCATTCATACTTCCTAAAAGGCAGTTTGGCTTTCCTCTAGGAATCTTAGACTTATCTTGTCTTATAGGCATCTAGACGTGAGGAGTTTGTCAACATAAAGAGACAGATCATACTGTGTATGGAAGAATTGGATCACACCCCAGACACAAGCTTTGAAAGAGACGTGGTGTGTGAAGATGAAGATGCCTTTTGTTTATCTTTGGAGAATATCGCAACACTACAAAAGTTACTACGGCAGGTAATGTCTTGAATTGTATCCTGCGATCTCCGAAGTACACAGCAGTTTGAAAAACTGACATTTTTTTCTTTTGTATTTTAAAGAAGAGTCAATATAGGTTTAGAAAACAAGGGAGGATAAAGATAGTAATATATACTACAAATAGGAGCGAGCCCTGGTGGTGTAATGGTTAAGCACTCGACTGTTAACCAAAAAGTCAGCAGTTCAAATCCACCAGCCACTCCTTGGAAACCATAACGGGTAGTTCTCCTCTGTCCTATAGGGTCGCTATGAGTCGAAATCAACTTGATGGCAATGGGTATATCTACAAATACTGATTTTTAACAAAAAAATTATTTGTAGCTCTAAGAGTGTGAAATTTAAATTTGGATGAAAAATATTAGTCATTTGAATTAACCTAGTGTTTAATGGAGAAAAAAAATTAATTCAAAACTTAAATCTTACTCTTAGGGTGTGAGACCCTACCATAATGACAGCTTTACAGATTGTGTTCAGAAGTCATGAAAACACGTTTCACACTTGTAAATGTGTTTCTTTTCCACGTGGTCCAGACTTTTCTTTGTGAGAAGCCTGCTCTGTGATGCAGTCCCCACTGTGAGTAACCACTGGCTTTCTCTGTTGCAGCTGGAAATGCGAAAATCACAAAATGAAGCTGTGTGTGAGGGGCTACGGGCTCAGATCCGAGAGCTGTGGGACAGGTTGCAAATACCTGCGGAAGAGAGAGAAGAGGTGGCCACGACAATGACTGGGTCAAAGGCCAAGGTCAAGAAAGCGGTGAGAAACCCAGTAGGCGCTGGGGCAGTAGTCTTCTAAGAGTGTTTCTATATATCAAGTCTCAGGTGTTTACTAGCTCCTGCCTTGGGCGAATCTACTTTTAAGACAAGCATCAGAAAAGGATGGCAGTACCTGCTCATCTTCTATCTTTTGTGTACTTTCCTTAGATTTCTGGCTCTTATAGTATCATTGTTATCATAGAGAGTGTTGATTTACCTCTGTGGCCTTGGGTTGTAATTTTACAGGGAGGGGGCTTTTGTAAAGCTAAGGTGAATGTGAAAGTGTAACAAGCACCTTTAACAGGTCTCTTCCTTTTAGTTGCAATTAGAAGTGGATCGGTTGGAAGAATTGAAGATACAAAACATGAAGAAAGTGATTGAGGCAATTCGAGCGGAGCTGGCTCAGTACTGGGACCAGTGTTTCTACAGCCAGGAGCAGAGACAAGCTTTTGCCCCCTATTATGTTGGTTAGTACAGAAGTGGTGATCTTTATGTGGCCTGCTCTTTTTTTTTTAATACAAGCTCAGACATTCACCAGGAAGTGTCATCGCTTCTGAACAGATATAGCTACCTGTTCAAGACATTCAGTGTAAATTGCCAATCCTGTAGAAATAAGCATTTGCAAATGCTATTGGGAAATATGGGCTATCTTGCTTTCTGAAGCAATATATCACTGTAGCCTGTAGCTGTAAAGCTCAAGTTTATCAAGTGCTTACCCTATGCCAGGTGCAATGTCAAACCTTTACCAATATTACCTCAGTTAATTCTCATGTCAAGAGGTGAGCACACTAAGGCACGTAAGGTCGAGCAACTTAACCCAGAAGCACACAGCAGGTAACTAGCAGAGTCCACTTGTAAGCCCAGGGAGTCTGACCCCTAGAGCCCAACAGAATTCTAGTCTGACCTAAATTGAGTATGTAGAGAAGGCTGTCTTAACTAAATTCAACAAATATTTTTAGACATTTTTTGTGACCCAACCCTCTATTGGCTGGACAGGGTAGAAAGGAGGAATATTAAAGAAACTTAAGACAAGGTGTCTTAATTATCTAGTGCTGCTGTAACAGAAATACTACAAGTAGCTGGCTTTAACAAACAAATTTATTTTCTCACGGTTTAAACCAAAAAACCAGACCCATTGCTGTTGAGTCAATTCCGACTCATAGCAACCCTATTGGACAAAGTAGAACTGCCCCATAGGGTTTCCAAGGAGCAGCTGGTGGTTTCAAACTGCCAGCCTTTTGGTTAGCTGCTGAATTCTTAACCACTGTGCCACTAGGGCTCCAGTTTAGGGAGGCTGGAAGTCTGAATTCAGAGTGCCAGTTCTAGGGGAAGGCTTTCTCTCTCTGTCGGCTCTGGAGGAAAGTCCTTGTTTCTTCCAAGCTTCTGCTCCTGGACAGTCTTCATGTGGCTTGCCATCTCCCTTCCTCCATCTCTGTTCTGCTCGCTTGTTTAATCTATTTTATAGCTTAAAAGAGACTGACTCAAGATATGCCCTACACTAATCCTGCCTCATTAATGTAACAAAGACAACCCATTCCCAAATGAGATTATAACCACAGGCATAGAGGTTAGGATTTACAACATACATTTTTTGGGGGACACAATTCAATCTATAATATTCCACCATTTGGCCCCCCAAAATTCATTTCCTTGTTGTATGTAAATCACATTCAGCCCATCACATCATCCCAAAGGTCTTAAATCAACTCCAAGTCCAAAATCTCATCTTCTGAATCATCTAAATCAAATATGGATGAGGTGAAACGTTAGGCATATTCTATCCTGGGGCAAAATCCTCTTCATCTGAGAATTTGTGAAATCTAATCACAAGTTATCTGTTTCCAGAGTACAGTGATGGTGGAACAGGCACAAGATAGACAGTTCCATTACAAATGGGAGAAACTAGAGGGAAAGAAGGGATAACAGGCACCAAGCAAGTCCAGAATCCAGCAGGACAATTTACATTAGCTCTCCAGGCTTCAAAATAATCCTCTATTCTTCGGGACCATCTGGGCAATGGCCCTGCCCCCCAGACTCTGGGTGTTGTCCATGCTCTCTGGATTCTGGGTGGAGGCCTCTTGGCCCTAGGCTCCAGCCCGCCTTCCAGGCCCACTAGGATGGCAACTCCACTCCCTCAGCTTTGGGTGGCCCCATTCTCCTAGTCCATCTGAGTGGCAGTCCCCCCCGCCCCTGCCCCATTGGCCCTGGCAGGCCATAACACAAGGCAGGAGATGACACACATTTTTGAGAATATTAATCATTTTAGTCTATCCCTTAGACCTAATCCCTTGGTCCCTAGTCCCTCCAGGCTTAATATGTTCAGTTTTCTTTTTTCCATGACTTCAGTCATCAAAAGCATGCAGTAATATGTCATTTTGCTGTCAGTATACTAGAAGGCTGAGGAACTGGGGACACCCTCAGTCACTCTGACCCTGTGTTGGCACTTCCACAGGTTTTGTTCATTGTTCTCTCCCATTGCAGCATGTACATTTAATAGAGGAATTTTATGGTACTGGGATATTTGCTGGTCTGTGGATTTGTGAAGTACTCCAGATGTATCCCTTGCAAGTATCAGGAGTCTAGGGTATATTATTTGTGCTATGAGAAGGCAGGAAGAGGATGACTCATGATTTATGCTTCAGGTAATAAGAATCTTAGCTAACATTTATCAAGCACTTGTTATGTACCAGAGGAACCCTGGTGGTGTAGTGGTTAAAGCACTCAGCTGATAACCAGAAGGTCAGTGGTTCAAAGCCACCAGCTGCTCTGAGGGAGAAAGATGTGGCAGTCTGCGTCCGTAAAGATATACAGCCTTAGTTTCAGGGGACATCTAGGCCAACTGGCATAACAAAGTTTATTAAGAAAATGTTCTGCATCCTACTTTGGTGAGTGGCATCTGGGGTCTTAAAATCTAGTGAGCGGCCATCTAACATGCGTTAATTGGTTCCAACCCACCTAGAGTAAAGGAGAATGAAGAAAACCAAAAACACAAGGAAAGTATTAGCCCAAGAGACAGAAAGGGACACATTAAACCAAAGACTGCATCATCCTGAGACCAGAAGAACTAGATGGTGCCCGGCTACCACCAATGACTGCCCTGACAGGGAACACAACAGAGAGTCCCTGATGGAGCAGGAGAAAGGTGGGGTGCAGAACTCAAATTCTAGTAAGAAGACCAGGCTTAATGGTCTGACTGAGACTGGAGGAACCCCAGAAAGAATGGCCCCCAGACTCTCTGTGAACCCAGAACTAAAACCATTCCCGAGGCCAACTCTTCAAACAAAGATCAGACTGGATTATGGGACATAAAATGATACTCATGAAGAGTGTGCGTCTTAGCTCAAGTAGATACATGAGACTAAATGGGAAGCTTCTGTCTGGAGGTGAGATGAGAAGGCAGAGAGGGTCAGGAGCTGGTTGAATGGACATGGGAAATCGGGTGGAAAGGAGGAGTATGCTGTCACAGAATAGGGAGAGCAATTAGGGTCACATAATAGTGTATGTATAAATTTTTGTATGAGAGACTAACTTGAATTGTAAACTTTCACTTAAACTACAACAATTTAAAAAAGGGAGCAAAAAGGCCAACACACATACTAACTATAGGAAATGCCTTAAAATTGGAGTAAGATCTAATGTTATTTATCTCATTAAAAGCATATGGTCGATTATGTTCTACTAATTAGAATCCCTGGTATAGAAATTGTATTGATGTTCAAGTAACAAAACCAGAAATCTTTAGTTCTTCCTACATCTAGCCTAGTAGAGAACCTACAAAATTACTCAAGTTTATAGACAAATTATCAAGGTTAACTTGCACCTAGTAAGGATCCTTGGATGGTGCGAACTGTTAAGCCATTGTTGGTGGTTCGAACCAACTCAGCGGCGCCTTGGAAATGAGGCCGGTGATCTGCTTCTGAAAGGCCACTGCCTTGAAAACCCTATGGAGCACAGTTCTACTCTGGACATGTGGGGTCGCCATGAGTTGGATTCAACTTGATGACAACAACAAATCTGATGAAGAATGTAAACATTTGTGTGTCTCCCCCACTATTACGTAGAAAGAATTATAACCCTTTCATTACTACATTTTTTTCTCATTAATTTTTTTTTTTTTTTTTAGATGGCATGTGTTTTCAGTACTGGAATGCATGCTTACTAAGACAGAGGTCCCCAGGCTGCAGAAAATTCTACTGCCTCAAGCAGCTTGCTTGGCATGCCCCGTAGCTTTACGTTAGAATCCCGGTTCCTTTGCTTGGCACATCCCATAACTTTACATTAAAATCTTGATTCCCCTCTCCTTAACTCCTGCCCCAAAACTAGAGGAAATTGGTGGAAACTGGTTTCGGTACCGTGTTGACATTCAGGATAACCTTTTAGCTCATTAAATACCTCATGCATAGTAACCTCCTGGCCTCTGGGTGGAGTTGAACCGCAATTTTCTGAACATGCGATGCATGAAGTTATATGTAAACCCCACTGCATCTGCGTAGTATGATTAAGAATATTGCTAATGTAATTTGTATGAACTTCCTACTTGTAAACCCTTTAAAAGTTACCTTTTCCCTCACTGAGCAGTCTTGGCAGCAGCAGCCCCAACTGTCTCCTTTCCTCACGTAACTAAATAAAGGGGTCTTTCTACCCTCCCCCCAAAAAAGATTTACAGCCTTGGAAACCCTATGGGGTAGTTCTACTCTGTCCTTTAGGGTTGCTATGAGTTGGAATCGACTCGATGGTGGTGGGTTTTGTTTGGACATGTACAATACATAATTCTATGTGGTGTCTGTTAATCATTTAATCCACACAATAATCTTATAAGGTAGGTACTATTATTAAGTATTATTACCCCCATTTAACAGATGAGGAGATTAAGTTGTAGAGAGGTGAAGTAATTTGCCCAAGATTCCACTGCTAGTAAATGGCAGAGCCAGGAGTTAAACCCAAAATATATTATACTATATGACTTTTCAAAGTAGCTTCAGTGTTGGGACCACAACATGATAAGTAAGGCAAACTGTATGAGATGTGTAATGGTAGAAATAAATAAGATGTGGTGACCAGGGAACTTGAATTTTTTATGCTATAGGACACATGTTCTGGAAGGCCATATTTAGAGTTTAGACCTGAAATTATGAAAAATCGTGTATTTGTATGCAAGGGCACTCGTGCATTTTTCTGTGACACCAGATTCATAACTACCAGTGAATTCCCAAAGAGGCATCAGGGACTAGAAGAGGTGAAGAGCCACTTTCAGACTTCTAAAAACGTTGAAAAAATAATACAGAATTGGTGTATACTCTTCACCTAGCTTCCTCTATTGTTAACATCTTATATTACCATGGTAAAATGACTAAAACCAGGAAATGAATACTGATTAAAATACTCTTAACTAACCTACAAACCTTATTCAGATTTTGCTAGTTTTGTTCCTAAAGTCCTTTTTCTGGTCCAGGATCCAGTCCAGGATCCCACATTGCATTTAGTTGTCGTGTTTCCTTAGTCTCCTTCAATCTGTGATAGTTTCCTCAGTCCTTGTTTTTCTTTCATAACCTTGACACTTCTGAAGAGTACTGATCAGTTGTTTCGTAGAATGTCCTTCAATTTGGGTTCGTCTAATGTTTTCTTAAGATAAACTGAGGTTATGCAATTTTTGAAAGATTATCATAGAAGTGATGATTACCATCTAAGTGATGTTGTGCCCTTCTAGTGCATCGTATCAAGAGGTGCACGATGTTGACACGTCTTATTTCTAGTGATGATAACTTTGAGGTGGTGTCTTCTAGATTTCTCCACTGTAGTTACTGTTTTTCCCCTTGTAATTACTAGGTTATCTTGTGGGAAGCTACTTTGAGGTAGTTAAGCGTGCTTATTCTCATCATATTTTGCACACTACTTTTCTCATCCATCCGTGGTTCATGCCTGCAAAAGTGATTTTGTGTTTGCCTCATGATGACTTTCTATTTCCCTCATTTCCTCTACATTTATTCTATTGTAAGGAAGAGCTGTCCCTTCTCTCCCTTATTTATTCACATCAGTATGGATCCAACGATATTTTATTCTATGGGTTGCAATCCAATAACATCATTTATTGTTGCTGAAATTATTCTTCCAGCTTTGCCCATTGGGAGCTCCTTCATGTTGACTCCTGTGCCCTTTCTACGTCCTCATCATTTTTCAGGCACTTCCATACTCTGGAACCATAAGATGTTCCAAGCTCACTTTGTATTTTCCCTGCCCCAGCCCTGGAATCAACTATTTCTCCAAGGACTCTTGATGAGTCTTGATTCTTTTTACTGAACAGTGATATTTAAAAATCAAGATATGGGTGCTAGGTGTGCTCATTGCTACTCTGGTGTCATTGCTTCTAGGCTCTCAGCTAACAGAGCTAGGAAATATATGTAGATAACTGCTAACACATGTACATACTAGTCTGTATTTCTGTCCCTATCTGTCTTTGTATAATTCTTGATACCTCCTATTCCAATTCAGTCCATCACCACAGAGTTCATTCTAGCCTTTCTCCTTTCCTGATTTGTAATTTTTCTGATGGTGAGAAACCTGGTTCCCATTATCCACAATATATATTCTTATTCATGTATCATTTTTATTATCAGGAAGAAAAATCATTTTTGGGGGGCATTTGTAAATTGGGATACTAAACACTAGAGGGATTTTTTTAAACCTACTGGGCCTATATCTTGCAGAGGACTACACAGAAAATCTGCTCCAGCTCCATGATGCTGAGATTGTACGGTTAAGAAACTACTACCAAGTCCACAAGGAACTCTTTGAAGGTGTTCAGAAGTGGGAAGAAAGCTGGAAGCTTTTCCTAGAGTTTGAGGTACTGGCCTAGTTTTCATTTGTCTGTTTGTGTTTTCGGTGGAATAAAAATGAAGTGTCACGAAAGCGTGCCCTGTGCAGAATCAGCTCTTTACTAGGTTTATAAAACCCTGACTTTATCACTAAGCCTCTATGAAATACCCTAACCCATATGTATTTGTTAAGATTATATGCAGGGGGACAAAAAAACATTTAATGGCTTACTTAAATAAGATAGAAGTTTCTTGCAGAAAGGGAGTCAAAGGTAGGCAGTCTCTGGAGCGCCCACATCCCACTCCCCTGCTGTAGAACAATGGCCATGGTAGGTAGGTGTGGCAGTTCCATGCAGTCAGCAGGGACCTAGGCTTCTCCAGCACCACCATCAGTGGACCTCATCTTCAGGTCCAAGATGGTGGCTAGAGCTCCCACAATTCAGGCAGTGTGATGGCACTGCTCCTCCCCTTTAAGGACTCTTCCCAGGACCTCTTCACAGCACCTTTGTTTACATGCCACACTAGCTACTGGGGAGTCAGGGAGAATTGCTGTCCCAGATAAATTCTGGGTTTATTACTAAGGAAATAGAGAAGAGTGGATATTAAGGCAGTCAACTTTTGTTATTTTCTTATAGAGTTGCCCCCATATTGGAGCACATTTGAATACTCTGAATTCCTTTTCTTCTGATGCAGACTTAGCATGGACAGGTTCTCACAGAGTATTTTAGAGTTCAGGGCTGGGGCTAGGGTGAGGCAAGTGAGGCACCCAGGGCTCAAAATGAGGAGACCCTCATTCTCAGATTCATGCCAACCCTGTTAGAGCTTGAAGAGACCTTTAGAGAATCTTTAGTTCAACCCCTTCAAGTCTGCAGGAAACTAGGACTCAAAAGTGGATGAGACTATGTGAAATCTAAGAGTTATTTAAGAATAGTTGTCCTTATCCTCAGTTAGTCCTTATTTCAAAAGCAAATAGGAGGTATAAAGGGCCAAATAAGCAACTTCTTGTTGACATGGCAGGATTTAAGAAAAAAGAAGAAATGAATTGCTGTCACCTCTAGTTATTGTCTTATAGGCAGTCACCAAGCAAGCAGTCTTTAACAGAAATAGAATTTCTTTATAAGTTTGTCCTCCAAATTAAGATTTTTTTCTGAACTTTTCTGATTGTCTACCCTTGTTGAGTGTATACACCTAATTTATATTTACAAATTATATGCTTGCTTGTATTACTGTTCTGAATACTTTGTACATTATAAAAGAACAACAACAACAACAAAAAAAAAAAAACCCAGAAAAGTTAAAAAGAATGAGGCACTTAATATTTTACATTTTAAAAAAGCTACTTGTCCATTTTGTGAGGGTTAATTTAGTAAAAAACAGAAATCTATAAATTCCTTGTTGTTATTAGGTAGATTTCAGTTCCTAGCAACCTCATGTAACAGAATATAACTGCTCCATAGTGTTTTCTAGGCTGTAATCTTTATAGGAACAGACATTTTAACCGCTTTCTGTCCCTGTCTGCCAGAAGTGAATGGGCAGGTAGAGGTGACACCGCCAGTCTCTCGGAGTATAGACCTCCCACTTATCCTACTTATCCCTCTGGATCTGACATCCACCTCAAAGAAGGGAGCTCGTGACTTTGTACGTTAAATATTAAAGCCTGCCTTAGGTTTTTAGGTTCAAAAGTAAACAGTAGTTTTTCTGCCCCCAGTGATGATTCTTCTTGATAAATTAAATGAAGCATTATTTTTCTTCCCTGGAGCACACACAACCGCTCTCCTGCCGTAGAATACAAATTTTTCATTACTGAGAGTGAAAGGCAACGTCAAACTTTCTTCAAGTGTCCTTAATCACCCGTATCATTTTATAAGGCAAGGAATCTTAACAGAAATAATTGGTCTGGCTAATCCTAGATTTTAGTCTAATAAAATGTATTTTTCACAGAGAAAAGCTTCAGATCCAAGCCGATTTACAAACCGTGGAGGAAATCTTCTAAAAGAAGAAAAGCAACGTGCCAAGCTCCAGAAAATACTCCCTAAGGTAATATGGTCGCTAAGAATTTTTGGTATTTGGCTACAAGATATCTCACTTTATATGCCCTTTGCTTTTGATGGTTTTGCCCCAAAACTGTCTTCTCTTGTGAAGATTAGACAGGGATTATAACTATGTACTGGACCATCCTAGTATAGGCAAAACTGAATGTCAAGGCCAAAGTGCTGTGGACTTCCTTATTATTCTCTATTTTAATAATAATAATAGCATTTACTGAGCTAAGTGCTACTGTTTTAAAGTGCTTTCCATTTATTAATTCATTCTCACAACATTCCTATGAGGTTGTTACGATTTCTGTTTTTATAGATGAGGAAACTGAGGCACTGAGAAATTAAGTTACTTTGCCCAACTTTTCACAGCCAATAAGAAGTAGGTTCCGTACTAGAACCCAGAGAGTCTGATTCAGCAGTCCACGTTCCGAGTGTACACTGCCTGTTTCAATATGACCAGTCTTCACTGCTGCTGCCTCCAGCTTTAGGGACCAGAACCCTAGTAGGCAGACTCTAAGTCCTTGCCCTGTTTCACTTTCATGTGTGTTGTGAATGAAACATCCTTAGGCTTTGATTTCTGACCGCTCTGCCCTATATGCACATGGGTCCAGCTAGCTGAAGCTAGGCTAATGATACTCTCGGGAGGGAGGAGTAGTTCTTGAGGAGAATCATTTCATTTGGGCTTCACACCAAAGATCTAAAGTAATTAACATGTCCTTGTTTCTGGTCTCAGCTGGAAGAGGAGTTGAAGGCACGGATTGAAACATGGGAACAGGAGCATTCAAAGGCATTTGTGGTGAATGGGCAGAAATTCATGGAGTATGTGACGGAACAATGGGAGATGCATCGGTTGGAGAAAGAGAAAGCCAAGCAGGAAAGAGTAAGTGTGAACACAAATTAGGAAGAGGGGAAGACAGTAATTTGAGCAGCCTAGAGGCTCTGCCAGGCATCAGGGTTGGTTGAAAATCAAGTGGCCCATGGCAGTTCTTTTTAGCTCTGGTACAGAGACTTGGCACTAGATTTCTGGCCCTGCTTCTGCACCCACCCTAGACCTGCTGTCTTAGTGGGATTTATCACTGTTGATCTGATTTTCACACAGCAACTAAAGAACAAGAAGCAGACAGAGACAGAGATGCTCTATGGCAGCGCTCCCCGAACGCCCAGCAAGCGGCGAGGACTGGCGCCCAGCACACCGGGCAAATTTCGCAAGGTAAACACACAGTTGTGTGAACCACTGGTTACAAGGGAATGTTGAGGCTAGGGTTCTTGGTCATCTCTTGCCTTCTAGGACAGAAGAGATGGGAAAGGGCTTTTCTCGCCTTTCAGGTTGAGTCCATTTGAGAGAGTGATGGAAGACTGGAGCTAATCCTGTGTAGTGGCTTGATAGCAACAGCCAAGGAGTGGCCAGCTTTGATGTGTGCTAGTTGTTAGACCCTTGGATTAAACTCAGTGGGGCCAATAATTGCCACAATTCTGTGAGGATGGAAAACTTTCAGTGGTCCATCATTTTGTAATTCCAACAAGTGACCATGGTGCTGACATGTGAAAGAAGGCTTTCATGCTTAGTAAATGGCTTGACTTCTTGTGCCTTGTAAGAAATCCATCCATGACTTGAAGGCGCACAGATATTTTCCTATATAATATCTCCTATTTTGCCTCTTGTATTGAATAGTTTTGCTTTTTCTACAATTTTTTTTTCTTGTTTTATTGTGCTTTAAGTGAAAGTTTACAATTCAAGTTAGTTTCTTATACAAAAATTTATACACATTGTGACAGCACACTCCTCCTTTCCACCCCGGATTTCCCGTGTCCATTCAACCAGCTCCTGACTCTCTCTGCCTTCTCATCCTGCCTCCAGACAGGAGCTGCCCATTTAGTCTCATGTATCTACTTGAGCTAGGAAGCACACTCTTCACGACTATCATTTTATGTCCCATAGTCCAGTCTAATCTTTGTCTGAGGAGTTGGCCTTGGAAATGGTTTTAATTTTGGGCTAACAGAGAGTCCAGGGGCCATGTCTTCTGGAGTCCCTCCAGTCTCAGTCAGACCATTAAGTCTGGTCTTTTTACTAGAATTTGAGTTCTGCACCCTACTTTCCTCCTGCTCCGTCAGGGACTCTCTGTTGTGTTCCTTGTCAGGGCAGTCATTGGTGGTAGCCGGGCACCATCTAGTTCTTCTGGTCTCAGACTGATGGAATCTCTGGCCCTTTCTGTCTCTTGGGCTAATATTTTCCTTGTGTCTTTGGTGTTCTTCATTCTCCTTTACTCCATTCCCTATGATTTTTAATCCACCTAGAATTTTTTTTTTTTTAATTCAAAAAATATTTTTGCAGTTGTCCATGAATAAAACTGATATATGATAAACTGCAGATATTTAAAGTGTACACTTTGATAAGTTTTGATGTATGTATACACCATTAAACCATCACCATAATCAAGATAATAAACATACCCATTGCCTCAGTTTCCTCATGCAGTTTGTATTTCCTTCCCCTCCCCCACCCCAGCCCCTTGCAACCATGGGTTTTCTGTCACTAGATTAGTTTGCATTTTCTAAAATTTTATAAAAATGAAATCATGCAGTATGTATTCTATTTTGTCTGGCTTTCATTTAACAAAATTTTTTTTGAGATTCATCTGTTGCATGTATCAGTAGGTTACTCCTTTTTATTGTTGAGTAGTGTTCTGTCATATAAATGTACCACAATTTGTTTATCCATTCGCCGATTGATGAGCATTTGGCTGTCTCCATTTTTTGACTGACAGATAAAGCTGCCATAAACATTTGTGTACAAGTTTCTGTATAGACGTGTGCTTTCATCGCTCTCAGTTCAACACTTGAGAATGAAGTGACTGGGTCATATGAACAGTGTATGTTTAACTTTTGAGATATAAAGTGGTTGTACCATTTTACAGTTCCATCAGCTGGGTATAAATTAGCTTTGAAAAGTTCTCACAGGTTTCTTCAGAGCTATGCAGTATTAGACACAGCAGGCTCTTTACCATGAAACCCATTTTTCCTGGACTGCTTCCCATACTTGTTTCTCTGTGGGTAGAGACGGGCTGCTAGAAATGTTGAGTATGTTGTCTCATCAGTAGTCTATGTCTTCCTCTTAGCTGAACACTACCGCCATATCCAACGCTACAGCTAATAGTAGCATTCGGCCTGTCTTAGGGGGAACAGTTTACCGCTCTCCTGTGTCTCGACTTCCACCTTCTGGCAGCAAGGTTAGTATGCTTTGTGTATAAACATCCCCAAGTATTGCTTATCCTAAATTTACCCAAAGTGCCCACCCACTTGTTTCCATTTCTAAGATTCATGGATCTCAGTTATCACTGAGATGCTGAGAGTTGACAGGTGTCAGCTAATCATTAGATGATGGTTCAAAAACTAAATGAGAGAAAGAGGAGAAGAATGGTCAGTGTGGGCCCCACTGGCACATGGGAAGGGCTGTGATGTGACTGGGAAATGAAGATTGAGTGGTGGTCTGTATTCTCAGATCAAAGCCCAGTCTTCAGTTGGTGCTGAGCTAGTTCCCTGCACGCTGGCTCCAGCCCAGTGACACTGGATCACTAGACACAGTCAGGTACTCATAAGACAGGAGGTGGGGGAGTTTGTGATAAATGTGTTCATTGTTTCAAATATTTGACAGACTAACTTCAAGATAGGTGTCCTCTAAATCATCAAAAATTCATGTTTTTTTTAAACGAAAACTACAGGATAACAGAGACATGGATAATAAAAAGATGGTATCAGCCTTTGACCATTTAGGGGTATTTTTAAATGTAGTAATTATAAGGAGAATACATTGTGATCTCTTTCATTTCTCTGCAGCCAGTCGTCACTGCCACCTGTTCGGGGAAAAAAACACCCCGTGCTGGCAGGTGTGGAGCCAACAAGGAGAACCTGGAGCTCAATGGCAGCTTCCTGAGCGGTGGGTACCCCGACTCGACCCCTCTCCAGCGCAACTTCAGCATTAATTCTGTTGCCAGCACCTATTCTGAGTTTGCGGTAATTCACCTTTTCTAAATATCTACCAGTCTCTGGGGAGCACACAGTTGGGGCAGGGTGGATATCTTCCCAGGGGCACCCAGGCAATAAGTTAGGACAATCACCTTGGAGGCTGAGAATCCCTTTCCTGCCTTGACCATGGTGGGGGTGGGGGCGGGCTAAGGGGACTGAGTAGGAAGGACGATGCAGCAACAAGACATTTAACCTGGATCCTTCTGCTTAAGCTATACCATTCCCTGGCTGCAGGAGGTGACCCCTCTAATCACTACCCTGGTGCTCTCTTGGTGGAGTTCTTGGTAATTGTCTTAATTCTTTGTTCTTAGAAGGATCCGTCCCTCTCTGACAGCTCCACTGTTGGGCTTCAGGTCTGTATGGCAACCCTGCATGTCCCATGTCCCTTTTCTAAACTCATCTGTCATCTGCTGGCTTCATTCCCATCTGGACAAAGGGCTACACTAACCAATAATCTTAACTGCACTATCATACCTTTTTTATAAAGGTAGCAGGAATTCCTCTCACGGACTTCAAAAATATCTGGCCTAAGTTCCCAGCAAACTGACCAACCTGCTGGTTAAGAAGAATACATGTTCAGACTTGAACTGGATTCTCAGCCCCACTAAAGTCAGGCAAAGTTTTTTTTTATCATGTTGTGCCACAATGGAAAACCTCCACCCTCCCCAATTGTGACATCAAGGGCCTGCAATGTGCTAGAAGTAATAAAGGCCCCATCATGTGGGGAGGGGAGCCCCGGCTGTGTGCTGCCTTTCATGAGGTTCTTGGCCTGTGTGCTGATTATTTCCTGGAGTATATTCCTTACTAACCCCTCAGGGCTGAACTGCCAACTTTCTGTTTAATCTACGCTAATCAATGTTTATTTCCTTGCCTTCCGTATTTCTACCACAATGAGCTGCTAAAGTATATATGAGGCACTGGAAGAAAGTCATTTTCCCAGAATGCTCTTCAGCTCCCAGTATCTTTCTTTACTTAACAATGCCCTTCACTTAACAATCTGTGTTCTCTTCCCTGAATATCTTCCTACTGAGCTGAGATTGCCCCTTACCCTTGGCCACCTCTCTCGTTGCTGCAGTGACAAGGGAGAATGGGACAGTTGCCCAAGGCCTTTGCCTAGTTTTGAGCATTGAAGCTACTAGCCTCATTCATATTCTGGCACTTTTTCCAAATTACTTGACTAGTGGTTCTACCTCTAGAAGTGGGTGCATGACACTGGCTAGCTGATTGCTGGACAGTGGGTCATGGCTTTCTCTTTTTTGCTTGCTCAGTCAAGCCCTATTTTATCCACTAAAATGTGCTTGCTTGTCTCTGGCTGGTCCCAGGGATCCGCATCTGGTTTTGGTTGCTATGGCTGGTAGACTCCACCGGGCAGCACCAAAGCCAGTATAGTAGACTGACCTCTGCTAACATCTGTCTTTCTCTGTGGTTCAGTCATGCCTAATCTTCTGTTTCTATACCATGTGCTCCAGCATGAGATCAAATCACCAGCAGGTTACAAGGCCCTCAGCCCCAAGGATTGGTAGATATGTGGTCTCGCCTGTCGTTTTATAAAGGGCTCAAGAGACCGAAGCTTGTTGCTTACCCGGCTTGACAACTTGGAGAGTAGCTTTGTGAATTATAAGGGATTTCTCTTCTGTGAAGTTTTAACAGAATGGACTGGCTGAGGAAAGAGGTTAGGGGTATATGTGTGCACACATGCTTGGTCTGTGACTAACAGAATGGTGCTCAGAGTACCTCACCTTTTGATCCTAACACAGCTTGTACTGGGCTGGGGACCTCTGTCTCAGGGCATCTTCTGCTGACACTTAACCATGCTTAGAAGGGAGGGTGCTGCATAATAGAGGCAGTACCACCACTGATGTTATTTATTTTTCAACAGCGAGAACTTTCAAAGGCTTCCAAATCTGATGCGTCTTCTCGAATCCTCAATTCAACCAACATCCAGTCCTGAGAAGCCCTGATCAGTCAGCTAGCTGTGGCTTCCTGTGCCTAGACTGGACCCAGTTATACAGGGGTGGCTTTGATTATTCTTCGGTTTAGGTTTGCTTGAAACCCTGGATGGAGTCCATTACCATGGGCCTAACTTAAAGATATGAACAAGTGTTACAGAAGCAAGTCCCATCATAGACTCAGCAGGTCCTTAGAGACTTTTGGGTTTTTTGTTTTGACTCAAGAAATACATTAAAACTTAGTTTATAGCAGTAAGTGCAAATTATAGCATGAAACCTAGTTTTTTTCTATACCCCATAATTTCACTTGTTGAAGCACGATCAAGAGTTTATTTCACCATTATCTAGGAAAATGATTGCTATGCCCATCCTTGGGGTATGGGATGTGAAGTAATTCTGTCTTGTATACTTGTAATTAGCAATTAACATCTTTTTGTGTCGGGATATTCAGTTAATGCTGTAGCTATGTTAGCTTTGCTCTCACCTGAAGGCCCGTCCCCACCACACAGGACAGCCTTCTCCTGATGGGGATGTCTTTATGTGTCAGAAGTTGAGGTGGCCTGACCTACTGCCAAAGAAGTGACAGGGAGGCTGGGAACACCTTTGTTAAATTGTGTACAGTTGTGTTAATAAGTGCAATGCCCTATGTGTATATGAACACACGTGCTTGTCTGAACCGTATTTCTTCAGAGTTTTCTCCTGGGTCCAGTCCCCTCATCCCTGTGCCCACTATGCCTGAGTTCTTCTACCCCTGCAGTTGTCAGCCAAACTGGGAGGCTGTTTGGATGGGATGGGCCATTTCTGTCATGGAGATGTGGAACTTTGCACATGTCAGTACTGGGGAGTTTTTCCTGCTGTAGCGTCCACAATGAGGTTCCTTCTTTTACCCTGTCGATCACTACTGCCCTCCCCAAAGCACTATTATTTATTCTTACTCTGCCTGCACCAGTACTACTGTGAGCACGTTAAATGGTTGTCAGAAACTTAGCGGTGTGAACTTGGCTTTGTTAGCCGTGCTGGCTAGTCATCCGTATACATGTCCTGTTTTTAAAATATAAATATATGCTTAAAAATAAATTAAAATGTGTATACTTACATTCTAAAAAGTTGTATTGTGGTGTTTATTGTTATTTTTTCCCAAATCACTTTTCAGTTGGTTTGGGCTACTGAAAACAAACAAGATTAAAAAATGTACGAGAAATGATTGTAGGGAGTATAATTTTTATATTCTGTGCATTTCCAAGTGAAAAATACCTCTTACTCTCAGGAAAAAAAAAAAAAAAAGCCTAGCTCCTGATGTATGAAGAGGCTAAGGTAATATTAGGAAACTTCTTGTTGCTATTCGTCATATTAACAGGAATAGCTTTTACAGGGTCAGGCTGCCTTTTTTTTTTTTAACAACTTTATTGAGGTATAACTGACATAAAATATATAAAGTGTACACTATGATAAATTTTGACACAGTATACACCCATGAAGCCATCACCACGATCAAGTCAATAAACATATCCATCACCCCCAAAAGTTTCTTTTGCCCTTTATAATGCCTCCTCCTTCCCCCCGCATCCCCCAAGTAATCATTGATCTGCTTTCTGTCACAATGGATTAGATTGCATTTTCTAGACTTTTATATAAGCAGAATCATACAGTATATACTCTTTGTGCTGGCTTTGTTCATTATTTTGAGATTCGCCCATATTGTTGCTTGTATCCTTAGTTCATTCCTTTATACTCCTGAGTAGTATTCTATTGTATGGATATATCAGAGTTTGTTTATTCACCTGTCCTGGACACAGGGGTTGTTTTTAGTTTTTGGCTATTACAAATAAAGCTGCTGTGAACATTCATATACAAGTCTTTCTATGGATATGTATTTTCTTTTGGGTTAATATCTAGGAGTAGAATGGCTAGATCACATGTATGGTAGATGCATGTGACACTACTAAACTGTTTTCCAAAGTGGCTGTACCACTTACAGGTTCCCACCAGTAATGTATGAGGTTTCCAGGTTCTCCACATCCAGTCCAACAGTTGGCGTGGTCCATCTTTTTAATTTTAGCCATTCTAGTGGGTGTGTGGAACCCTGATGATGCAGTGGTTAAAAGCTTGGCTGCTAACCAAAAAATCGGCAGTTCAAATCCACCAGCCACTTCTTGGAAACCCTATGGGGCAGTTCTCTGTCCTGTAGGGTCACTGAGTTGGACTCAACTTGTCGGCAGTGAGTTTGGTTTTTTTTTTTTTTTGGAGTGTGTAGTTCTTTCTCATTGTGGTTTTAATTTGCACTTCCTTAATGGCTAGTGAAGGAGCCCTGCTGGTGCAGTGGTTAATCGTTCAGCTGCTGACCAAAAGATCAGCAGTTGGAACCCACCAGCCACTCCGTGGGAGAAAGACGTGGCTGTCTGCTTCTCTGTGGGGCATCTGGAATGGCTATTAGCATTGAACATCTTTTTATATGTTTGTTGTTATCTTTCTATCTTATTTGGTGAAGTGTCTGTTCAATTCTTGCTTTTTTAAAGTTGGCTTGTGTTCTTATTTTGACAGTTCTCCACAGAGTCCAGATAAAACCAGTTGCCATGGAGTCAATTCTGACTCATGGCAACCCCATGTGTATCAGAAGAACTGCACTCCATAGGGTTTTCAAGGCTGGTTTTTTTGGAAGTAGATCGCCAGGCCTTCTGAGTGGACTTGAACCTCCAACCTTTCGGTTAGCAGCCTAGTGTATTAACCATTTGCAACACCTAGGTACTCCATGTATTCTGGATACAAGTTCTTTATCAGATATGTGTCTTGCAAAGATTTTCTTCCAGTCTGTGGCTTGTCCTTTCATTCTCTTTACAGTGTCTTTTGAAGAGCAGAAGTTAGAAGTTTTATACTTTCAGGTTTCATATTTATATCTAGCCATCGTGTGTATGTATGTGGCACTCACAGTGTAGCTTTAAGTTCATTCTTCTCGCATATAGATAGCCAGTTGTCCAGCACCATTAGTTGAAAAGGGTATCCCTTCTCAACTGCATTGCCTTTTGCACCTTTGTCAAAAATCAGTTGCCAATGTATGTGTGTGGGCTTATTGCTGGATTCTTTCCTGTTTCATTTGTCTGTCTATCCTTATGCCATTACCATACTATACTGGTTACTGTACATTTATAATAATTCTTAAAATTGGGTAAAGTCTTCCAACTTTGTACTTTTAAGTTATTTTGGATGACGTCCAATTTATCTATGTTTTTCTTTTGCCATATCTTAAGTATCCTTTCCCAAATCCAAGGTTATGAAGATTTATCCCTACGTTTTCTTCTAAGAGTTCTCTGATTTCTTCTTTGACCGACTGGCTCTTTAAAGCTGTGTTATTTTACCATTATTCTTTATTTCTTCGTACGGCTTCAAGTCTAGTGTCCTTTCAGTTTAGCCTAGAGGGCTCCCTTTTAGCATTTCTTGTAGGGCAAGTCTACTAGTGATGAACTCCCTCAGTTTTTGTTTATCTGGGAATGTCTTAATTTCTCCTGCATTGTTGAAGGACAGATTTGACAGATACAGAATTCTTGGTTGATAGTTTTTTTTGTCTTTTTTTTTTCTGTCAGCACTTTAAGTATGCCATCCCACATGCTATAAATCTATAGTAATCAAAGCAGCACACAACATGGATGGGTCTTAACAATGTTGGCTGAAAGAAACAAGACACAAAAGAACATACACGGAATGATTCCATTTACCTAAAGTTCAGAAGCAGAGAAACTAAACCATATTGTGTAAGGATACATAAAAAGGTGATAAAATTATAAATTAAAATAGGGAAGTGAACAATGAAAGAAAGATGACCTCTAGTGGTGCCTAATCTTGGCTGTACATCAAAATCCCCTGAGGTGGGAGGGGAGCTTTAAAACCTACCAATGTCCAGGTTCCACACCCAGAGGTTCTGATTTCATTGTCTCTGGGATGCTGACCTTCAGCATCAGATTCTTCAAAGCTGTCCAGGGTGTTTCTGATGTGCAAAGTTAAGGACAATGCTCTAAGACAAGGGGAGAAAAATGTGATGGGGAGGGGCAAATGAGGGGAACTTTGGAGTACTGGAATGTCTTTACTTTGACCTGTGTGGGTTTCACAGGTATTCACCTTATATTTAATAAACTGTACATGTATTTTATGTACTTTATATATATTTTATAACTATATGTGTGTGTATGTGTTCACTCCAACTTGTTTTTGGGTTAATTTAGGGTTAGCCTTTTTTGTTCAACCACCTGGACACAGGCTTAGTCAGCTCTTCCCTTTCTCCACAGCATACACATAAGTGTTCCAGGGGCCACAGGTCACAGCCTTTACTTGAAGCTGGTTATCTACAAAGTATTCCACGCGGTGGGGTCGATCCAAGCTGGTCGTGTCCTTATGGCCAAGCTGTCCATATTTACCTGAAGTGAAAGGAGCCCTCTTTGCCACCCTCTCCACGGGCCTTGCTGTTTTTCTCCCCCCAAGAAGGAAAAACAGCCTGCTTACTGAAGTACTGCTGCTGTGCCTCACCACCCTGCTGGGGTCTGCTTGGTGAAGCCACGAGACCCCAAGGCATAAGGCTTCCAGAGTCAGGCAAGCCTGGGCCCCCACGAGGCCAGCAGCAGCCAGCCACTTCAGGCAAAATGCTCCTCCAGGTCTTTCTGCACCTAAGCTGAGATGCTTAAGGCAGGGATCCCTATTTTATCTTTATCCAGTACCAGACCAAAAAAAAAGATGTTTCATAAATGCAGGCTAAATGAATGTTCCCTTAAGGCAAAGTCTTTCAGAAAAGTAGACGGGAAATAGTGGTAGCATTTCCCTATTTCTCTCCTGTCTGGTCTCTGACCTTCCGAGTGTGCCTAGATCTGTTCCGACCACAGGAAGGGAGTGCACAGCCTCCTAGTCCCAGTCCTCCCGGTAACGCCCTGAGGCTCCTGCTGCCACTGGTCTGCATGGCTATTGTTACCTGCCCTCTGCTCCCCAGTCTTCCCTCCCCTTGGTTTAAGCATCACAACAGCAGTGGCTTTACTTACCCCAGCCCCAGGTGTACAGCTCCCCCGTTCCTACAAACGAAAGGGCAGGAAGAAGAGTCTACTCAATAAATGGTGCTGGAAAAATAGGATTTCCACATACAGAAAATGAAACAGGATCCATGCTTCACACCACTCACAAAAACTCAAAATGGATTACTCGGGCATCCAGAACCAGTGAAAAGCAGCGCTCCATCAGCAAAAGATAAGTACTTGAGTCTCACCTACCATGTGGATCAAAAAACACCCCCTTTGGGAAAAACCTCTCTCCTACCTACCTGCCCCCTCCCCGCTCTGCACCAGGTCCCGGGCCAGCTTCAGCAATTGCCAATTCCCCTGGGCCAGAAGTAGGACCTGTAATGCACCCTGAACCATTCTCCTTGCCTTGGAGAGGGAACAAATTAACAAACAGGAAAACATGTGCTGGCTCCTCTAAGCTGGGAACTCAGGGTAGGCACAGCTTCTTTGCCTAGGCACAGGCATAAGGGGTCCAAAGACTTTGAATGCCTTTCACCCCTGCATAGACCTGTGTGGGCCCATTTCAACAGTGTAGGCCCTCATTACCACAGTACAACAGGGTGTATACCTAAAGCCTAACTTCAATGGTATCAGCTATATGGTGAAATGGCATGTTCGTGACATTTGAGACTGCTCTGCCCATTAAGCAGGGCCCTCACCTACCCACATCAGGGCCTGGGGACTGGTGGCTCCACTCCTGCCACCTAGCCACCCGCGACAGGTCCAAGAATAAGTGGTGCCTCCCAGTCCTTAGCCAACAGCGTTGGGTCCTCATAGTCCGCTACAATACCCACCCACCTACATGCTCTAGGGAACAGGGACACGCTTTCCTCCCAGACAGGAGCAGCTGTCAGTCTCCTGCCTTGCTCAGCATGTGACCCCCTACTGCAGCCAGATACCTCTGCCTACACCAATCACCCACGCCTGTCTAGGACTTAGGTGAGAGCCTGCACAACACTTGGTGACCAACTACCTGAACACCTGAGCTGAATTCATACAAGAAAAGTGAACAGACTCCTGGGCTCACATATCTAGTAACAGATCTAACCACCTGGTAACAGGACACTAGAGCTTCAAAGGCGCCAATAATCAAACTAGCTCATATGAGCAGCCTATCTGGGCATATCAAAACAAAACAAGAAGCTAGGACACAGTAAGCAAACATAAAATAAATAAATATAATAACTTACTGATGGCTCGGAGACAACAGTCAATATAAAATCACATAAAGAGGCAAACCATGATGGCTTCAGCAAGCTCTCAAAATAAGCAATCAAGAAATTTTCCAGAGGAAAAGAATTTCTTGGAATTACTGGAGGTAGAATACAAAAGCATTAATATACAGAACTCTTCAAGAGATCAGTCAAAACACAGACCAAGCCCAGGAACACACAGAAAAAGCAGCAGAGGAACTTAAGAAGGTTATTCAAGAGCGTAATGATAAATTTAATAGGCTGCAAGAATCCATAAAGACACGGCAATCAGAAATCCAAAAGATTAAGAATAACATTTCAGAATTAGACAACTCAATAGAAAGTCAAAGGAGCAGAATTGAGGCAATGGAAGTCAGAATTAGTGAGATTGAAGATAAAGCATGTGACACCAACTTATTTGAGGAAAACCCAGATAAAAGAATTTTAAAAAATGAAGAAACCCTAAGAATTATGTGGGACTCTATCAAGAATAACCTAGGAGTGACTGGAGTACCAGAACGGAGGGGTAACAGAAAATACAGAGAGAATTGTTGAAGATTTGTTGGCAGAAAACTTCCCTGATACTGTGAAAGATGAGAAAATATCTATCCAAGATTCTCATCGAACCCCACATAAGGTAGATCCCAAAAGACAGTCACCAAGACATATTATAATCAAACTTGCCAAAGCCAAAGATAAAGAGAGAATTTTAAGAGCAGCTAGGGATAAACAAAAAGTCATCTACAAAGGAGAGTCAGTAAGAATAAGCTTGGACTACTCAGCAGAAACCGCGCAGGCAAGAAGGCAATGGGATGACATATATAAAGCCTTGAAGGAAAAAAATTTCCAGCCAGGAATTGTATATCCAG